AAAATGTATGTTTCTTGTAGTTATCAGTAGCAAGTGAATGTTTTCGCGTTTTGTATAGATGTATTATCTGAGGGTAAAACGTCTTAAGTCGACCAGTAGCAGGTTTATTATGCGCGAATGACTATATGTGTATTGCATATGATACAAACACATTGAGTATACAATTCTACTCTGCGCATGCAATATTTTGTAGTCAAACTGTCAAAACTTTAACTTGTTCTTGTTTATATTCCATTCTATTGTATAAATTCGCGGGGAACAAATCCCGTACAATATTACAGAGAAACGGTGAAATGTTAAAAGCGTGGCGTGATCCTCAGGAGATGTTTTCGTAATGCCCAACGAAACACAAGTATTACTCACAAATACAAACGTTATCCATAAATGCACATGGTCTCTGATGGATATAGGCCGGGACTCAGGAGGTCTGGAACTGGTAATTGTGCGCGTGCGTACAAGTGTATGGGCTAATAAAGAAAGATGTACCACAAGCATGGCATGAGCCGGCTACTACGTACATAAATACGGATATTGTTACTATGAAAACTAAATCAAGCAGTCGAGGAATCGAATGGCATTTGAATCGATGGCATTTTGGATTAATCGTTGCACCCTGAGCCTGCGATGCGCTAACGCAAACTCCATTTCTCGACGAAAACAGAAAACAGAAAATTAGGGATTTAAGACACTTGACCTTTCAGGTCAGTGTAATTAGTGCGGGCTCAATTAAATAACTAACAGTACTACCAGTTCCTACACACCACAATAAATACTTAAGAAGATTGTGATAATGTATGCATGATATCTAAGTAAGGTCATAAATAGTGGAACAGACTACCGTATTTCTACCCCTCGTACCTTGACTTCTTAATAATAATTGACTTTAATTTAGTGACAGGGCCTCTTTTAACATCTACACTGGGGGTTGGGGAGGACATGTCCCCCAGCCCGGTTAGTGGCCCTTCCAGTCGGAAATTTTGTCCCCCCCCCCAGTGCAAGGTCCCTAAGAACTACCTGCAGTAGGTGGTCAACCAGCAATTATATATCAAAGTGAGAAAAGTAGAAAACGATGTTAAGCTGTTAACATTTCTGAATTTGACCATCATCTGCAGCAGGCCCGTAACTAGCTATGAGTCAAACGAGTCAGTTGACTCGGTAGGAATTCGGGGACTGAAATTTAAACATGGCCAGAAACCTAAACCATGGCTGAAATAATTTTCTCGTGGAGAAAGGGCATGAAATGGCATTTTAGGACGAAATTCTAGTTTAGTTTTTCCAAACAAAGATACTCCAAAGAGACCACCCTGTCTTGCTCTTCAGTGACACTGAGAAGATGAATGCGTCGATATCAAGTACCCCAATACATGTACTGTATAATTTGAAGTGTGGTGAAAGATTATACTATACAACGCACATTTTCATGTGTCCAAATAATCTATGAAATAATTGCCATTGAGAATGACTTCATTAATAGAGGATGGGGGCTAAACACAGAGTGAGGGCTCGCTGTAGAGGATAAACAAGGGGAGGTGTTCCACCTGAGGTATTCTGCGCTTTTTGAGACTAATTATATGGGGGGGGGGTGAAACTGGGGGCGGTTTAGTCGACGAAATACGGTAGTCAGTTTAGGCCTGGGTCTTCAACATGGAATTTCAGCTGTTTAATAACAAAGTTCTCAGTTCTATATGCATGTGGGCGGATTAAAGCCGCTTTCCGGTTGATGTTCGGACGTGACCTACTAACAGATAATCAAATCAATCTCCAAAGTGAATTTATTTTACCATTAATTAAAATAATCCGTCCCTTTAATATGTGTTTATTAAATCACAGTCCTTGTCGAGAGTTGCAGTCCTGATGTATCGTGAGCAACTATTTTGGTTTTTGGTTGTGGTGATTGGGTTATGTGAAAGCCTTGAACTCAATAGCTCGCCGGGATGTGTCAAAGACTGTGTTGATCTGGTATTTATTACTTCGTTTTGATGTCTTATAAATATCTCATGGTAAAAGTACTGTGAACGCGCGTTATATGTGATGATAATTGATATATCTGTAATTAAGTTCTGCCCTAAAGGTTCGACTAAATGTAACTAGTATAGTATAATTCCCCTAATCAGGAAAACGTAATGCTGCATGATATATAGGCTGCCTTTCACAGGTATACGGCGGAAGGGAAAATATATATGTGCTGATTAAATGTGCTATTTGACTTGGTTTTCGCTAGGTCTTATTAAGGACACAAGCGTAAGCGAGAAGATAAAGAATGGTCCCCACGTGAAAACAAAGCAAAATAATTATCGCAGTTTAAATATTTCTTTTGATGAACGTCTCAGATTTTGCTTACAGCCAAATATCCGCCATCACTCCGTCATGCTTCACGGAATGGTCGCGGTCACACTAGCGCTTCTGCTTGCAGAATAGCAAAGGATTAGCGTGCTTGCTTGTGACGTCATTCAAGCAAGTGCTAGAATGTTAAGCAAGCACGTCGCGGTCACACTGAAAAAGTACTTATTCTTGCTTAGGATTGTAATGACAGATAAAGTGTCTTTGGTTTTTGGTAAATTTACAAAGATAGTGCGACTGCCTGCAATATGTGTGTCTGTGTTTCGATAATGGCGCGTTAATGCAATTTTTGGTCTTATCAGGATTTCTGACGGATACTTGCGTTGTATAAATCCTCTTGAGATATGCATTCTAGCACAGTTCAGTCACCGTCCCTATCGTACTTGAATCTTGCTGCGGTACTTTTGTAGTTTCAAGCAAAATGTATCAAGTTTCAAGCAAGCTCAGGTTATGCGTTTTACGCGGTCACACTATCAAACGTGCTTGGAAGCTGACCTGTTGACAGATTCAAGTAGATTACGTTCAAGTAAGCACGATTCTAGCGCTAGTGTGACCGCGGCCGCAAACATCAAACATCAAACATGTACTCTACCACAGTAAAATGGCTTGCCTAATGTTGCCAGTTCCAGACGAGTTTATCTATTGGTCGAGTGTCGAGGGTTAAATGTCGAGGGCGAAGGTAAAAAGTCGAGGGTGAGGGTAAAAAGTCGAGGGTAAAAAGTCGAGGGTTAAAAGTCGAGGGTTAAAAGTCGAGGGTGAAAGGTCGGTAACCGCTTTGGTAATGCCATAACGTCTACGTGTCTTCTCGGCAGTATTGTTATATGAGCACCTCTCACCAAATATAATCAAACCTATATAATATGCGTTCCACACACATATACTATATACGACACGTGGCGTATTCTGCGTTTTAAATGTACTAATATACCACAGCGTGGCTTTGCGTCCTGATGCATTTGCATGCAGCCGTGCAGACAGCAATACAATCAGTTATATATTGTTTATTTTCTACACAAACTACAGTATATTACATACTAAGCAGGGTTCTTTAAAACAAAGCGCCCTGCTTTAACCGGCAATAAATAAACCGATAATGTAGGGGCAATTAATATCGCAACTTGATATATATATATACAAGGTTCTTTGTAGTGTATGCACTTAATCGGCTAAATTATAGTTCCGCAAAGCAGATTAAAGTGTGAAACACAGGCGTAAAACTCCAAGTACCTACCGTTAAATTTTAAGATAAACTCTGACTCTTTATAAACAATCCCGCGTTCAAAATAATCGCGGGCCTCCAATTTTAACGCTTTATTTTCCAAATTTTCTTGAGTACACACGAAACAATAGCTTAAAATAGAAGCCAAGTTACTTGTCATCATTGCCGTTCTCGATTTTGTACCATTGTGATGTGTCCACAAGCAAATTCGTGTTTTAAACATGACTAATAAAATTGAAACTTGGTCAATTTTATGATTGTTATTTATTTAATAACATGAACAGAAACAGCATCGACAATGACTAATTTTCGTACAGCTAATTCAAAAAAGGTGAAATTGGGAAAATAACCCTAGTATACCTTGTGCACTCAGTCTCAGAGTTCAAGGTTTGAGATATTTGAAAGAAAACCTGTTTTGAAACAGCTGTAATTATAGGAGAGGCTACATCCTTATCAGAACTTCCTGACCGTACAGCATCGGAATCATAATTTGTCTGAAGACATTTTCAGCGAAATTGAAAGCGAAATATCGATCAAATAAATTTTAAGCCGAAGACCAGAATGCAAGATGCAAGTAAGGTCTTTATAGGATATATGAGGCGTGATATCCGCCAAATATGTTTATTCGAGCCAGTGGATTGCGGCATGTCGGATATGTCAATAACCTGACCTGCCAATCAAGGCGAAAACATCGCCCAACGTGTGTGCGTCGAACGCATATTATATAACAATTCTGCCGAGAAGACACGTAGACGTCGCTATGGCCTTATCCGAAGCGGTTACCTGACCTTAATATTGAATTTGTATTTTTTGGTGACTTTTTTACCCTCGACTTTTACCCTCGACTTTTACCCTCGACTTTTAACCCTGGACTTTTAACCCTCAACTTTTTACCCTCGACTTTTAACCCTCGACTTTTTACCCTCGACTTTTTACCCTCACTCTCGAATTTTTACCCTCATCCTCGACTTGTTACCCTCGCCCTCGACATTTTACCCTCGACACTCGACACTCGACCAATAGATAAACTCGTTCCAGACATGCCAAGCTAGTTAACGTTTCAGTACAATCGAGGTAGTTTTAATTAACAATATTTTTAACCTTTCTGTGAGCCAAGCGAGCTTGCCACAACCATGAGCTGATGAAATCTGCAATAGGATTCTTCACGCGCACTAAATCGCTAAAGCCTCTTAATTCTATGGGTAGACTTGGATCAAGTCCGTCTCTTTAGAGTCTGAGGGAGGGCGCGAGATGCAATAACGCGGGAATGTTTGAGGGAGAGACGGACTTAGCTCACTTGCAAGCGCGCCAAATTTACCGACCCGTTTTTCCGTCGGCAACGCGTCATAACTAGATTGCAATAAATTATGCTAATTGCAATAAAGCGGAAATAACAAAGTGTCTTGTTTCAAAATATATAGCGTGCTGTCCCTCTTCGTGTCTAGTTTAGTTTATACTTAAATGATGAATACGTTTCAGGAAGGTTATTGATATGATTATACTATATAAAACTGCACAACTAGTGTCACACTATTAAAGTGTCACGGCAAACTTCATGATCACACGAAAGTTTGATACAGTCAGGGATATTTTGCTCAGGACAAATTCTGTGCTTATAGTCATAATAATTAACTAGAGTCTATAGATACGATTTAATAAAAAGTGTTTGTTTAAATATAAGGCTTATAGTTATATATTAAAGGCGTATTTTAAATAATTTTGCCCAGACACTTCCGCCGGTTTCCGTATTTGTAACAAAATTCCCGCCAAAATAATAAATCTGATTCAAAACATTGCAGATGAGCCAAGTCCCTCCTTTCTTGCACCTCGCGCGCCGCTTCACGTCGCTCTCGACCTCGTCGCTTCGCGACTCGGACTCTAGAGAGACAGACTTGATCCAAGTCCATTCTATAAGGAACAATACACGCGAATTAAGTACGAATAAGTCATGAATAAGTGAAGCCAAAAACAAACCAAATATTACATTACTACATTACAGTATTACATTTAGTATTTGCTCTGGATAAAGGTTACAAATTATTTTTGCAGAAAAAAAAAGAAAAAAAAGTTTCTTTGTGTTTTAAGATGTCGTCAGGAGTAAGGATTTCTTCAAAATTTCGTTCTGAGATGGGCGACTGCTACGACATTTTTACGTCGGTAGGGTTGGCGTAAGCATACAGCATGCGTTTCGCATTGATGAATTGATCTCGTACGCGTGGTCATAGTTGCTGCTAAAGCTCTCTATTGTTTAATACGCAACAACAAGAATCTTTTAAGACCACGTGCATTTGTGCGACATGTGTCAGCCCACATGTTGACGAGATGCTCACATGGCCAAACGTTGACAACACACAGATAATTCGTTAATCCCCGAGTCGCCTTGCGAGGGTTCTAATTTCGTCCGGCTATTTACTCCTGGGGAAAGGAAAGCATTAGGGACGGATCGCTACAAAAGTGATTGGGGGGGGGGGTCCATTTCCAACGTGTACGATTATTTTTTTCAAAATTTTTTCCTTGTGTCGATTATTTTTTTTAATAATCCTTTGGCTCGAATTTTATTTTTTTTCTCCAAAAATTGTTGGCCAGTGGGGAAGGGAGGGGGGGAGGTAAAAAAATTTTTTCAGGACTTACAATTTTTTTTTCGGAACTTAAAAAAAGGGGTCAAACTAACGGGGTTGGACTAACATCAGTTTAGTTAAGGTTCAAAACACATTTCCATGACAAATTCTTCTTAAAACATGATTAAAACGCTTTTTTGAGCCAATATCTGCTACATTTAGGTTTAGAAAATTTTTTTCACACCATTACTTATATCAAAAAACGTTCCAAATTATTTTTTTTTGATTTTCCAAATTTATTGGGGGCCACGCTTACACTGTACCTCTAATAGGCCCTGTCAACTTATAATTTTCCCTATTGAAAAGTCTCTGCACAAATTTGTTTTTCAAACTTTTCTGGTGCACGATTTTTTTTTCTGTTTCCCCTGCTCGATTTTTATTTTTGCTTTTGCCCCTCCCCCATCACTTTTCTAATGGTCCGCCCCTTAGCGAAGTCTAAAGTTCATCAGTTATTGCCGGCGTGAGTGACCGTGCGTGGGTGGTCATCCTCACTGATCTCAAAATATAGCGGACTGTCATAAATAACAATAAACACTGATTGGTCCAATATATTTAAAATTTGCATTATAACGACTGCGTGATGACAGCGAAATAGCAAACATTTCTTGATTTAATGATTTCTATCAAATATATTTCATTTTTGCAAGATCTTGCAAATTTCAAAAGCTTTTTGAGAAAAAAGGGGAAGAATTGCTTATTTTTAACGCTTATGCATCGCGTCCCAGTCCCGTCGATCTCGAGAGATCGACGGCTAAGAAATTTCATATCTTCGGTTCAGTGCATGCTATGAAGACATAAATACCACCATTCGATTCAGAAATAAAAGATTCAACTAATTCCTCCCTATAGTTATAGTCATTATCAACATTGTAGCGATTTATGGGCCTTTGAAAGTCAAACACGATCACATTGTATCAAATTACGCAATTGTCTGAACAAAAATATTGACTAGCCATACCTTTCGCCGAAAATAACTTCGGCCCCTTCGAACATATCGTCTTTGTAGTATTCTTGTTAGAATCCCCATAAAAAACACTATCTACAGTGTTATTTGTAAGCATGTATCTTCAAATCTGTATCTTTTATCAATATATTTCCATTTCTTGTCCGACTGTGAGCTCGAAGTGAGTTAATCCCAACCGGAAATACGACCGAAACCGTCAAAACAATGCGACGTTTGTATCGTATGACCCTGCAAAGGCCAGAAATGGTTCGGAAGGTCAAATTGCACCTACACGCGTGACTTTGACGTCATCCCGGCCACAGGAGCTTCTTATTGGCCAATTATTGCGCAATGTACGCGAGTGCGAGTAAAAACCCGATATCAGCCGATATTTTGAAAAATTCAAAATGAATATTTCTACTGGCCGTATTCATACAAAACTTTCTACACGAAAGCGCTTGAATACAAAGAGAGTTTTACTCATATAGCCTTTTAGAAAATGACAAAAAGTTTAGAAAATATTCAACTTTTTCTCGATATCCAATACAGAATGTTTTGCCAAGCGGTGAGTACAAACTATGATTGTTTCGGTTTGTGTAATGTCTTGACGGCACTTGACCCCCCGTTCGAAAGGTTATTTTGTGATGATCTCAATGGTGGGTTTTGTTTTAAAGGAGGGTAAATACCCGCCGAGATATTTACATTAGAAATATTGACTCGTAATGTAATGTGAAACCGCTTGTCGGCAAGGAGATGCGAAAGAGTAAATTAATTAAAGGTCTTTAATATAAATGTTGATGCTTTGTTTGCTTTATATACGCTACTTCTTTCAAAAGCTGATCGATGCGTATATTTTAAATGAAAAAAGAGAGCATATAATTTCAGTGTATCTTTATTGATTACCCGTCTTTATTATCTTAAAATTCTTAATTAAAAAAGAAAGCAAAGTTATTTGCATGCGAGAATTTAAAATCATTTTATTTCAAACTCAAAGTTTATCGATAAACGCAGTTTAGTTTTCATAAAGAACACTTTAAAGGACATTGGCAACCAAAATTTTTATTGCTTATATCTATTAGGTATACTTACGGAATACTTAATTTTATATTTTGGCCGGTTTTTTGCGTTTAGTTCGGTTGAAAAAAATTAATAAAAGGTTCAACAATCACCGTTATGCTACAACATACATTATCTGACGTCATTAGCTGGGTAAACACAATTTCATGACTATAAAACAATACCGAGTATTACACGCGTAGCCTGCACTTTCAGCCAAAACAAAAGGCAGAAAAGTTTTACCAAGTATGTTACTTTTTAGTAATACTATTTCTCATAGTATATATCCTAGGAGGAAACCTAAACTAAAACTAGAAAATACATGCATGCAGAAACCCTCGCCTTGCTGACAAATCCATTGTCATCTTTCCGAACATGAAATATCCAAAGTAGTTGTCATGGTAACACTATAATTTTTTGAGAATATTTTTACAAATGGAAAATCGCCTAAAAAGATCACTTTTAATTACAAAATTATCAATTTCCCAACATTTATATATGTTAGGTATGTTATAGACTTTCCAAAGTCCTTTCCAGGCCCTTCTATGGCGCGCTTCACTTCCTCTGTGGAAAGGACTTTTGTCACTTGCAGCGCGCCAAATATCACCGGTGGAAAAATCCACCGGTGACGTCATTGTTTACATTGAAGGCCGAAGCGGTTACATTATCGGTCATTATCGAAGGAGTCTAAAAATAATATTATATTCTCAGGCTCTTTGTTGAACAAATGTGTATTATTGACTCACCCATGACGTCATCACCATATCATATCATACCAATTACACACACTATGGATACAAGCACCACATGTAATGCCACTGGAGATGATGATCCTATGCCTCTCTGCCGTGATGTTAGTACACAGTGTTGTATCAATGCGAGAACGCTAGTGAATGCTGAAACCCAAACAAATGAATCTTTTACTAGTACTTATTGTCTTTCTTCTGATTCCCAACCACCACCTGAAAATATCAACACTCATTTAGTAGACCACAATTATTATGCAGACCACCAACATTTTTTTGATAACCCAGAAGTAGAACAAGCTGCAGGACATGCTATGGAAGAGCAAAAGGATATTCTCACAGAAATAGATTTCAACATTTATGACCTTGAAACAAAGTCTAATACTACAAGTGATAATGAACAAGATCAAGACTATCTACCACAAAGTGATTCACAATCAGATGACTTAAGCCAAAATGAAACTGATTACAATCCAGCCATGTTGTCAAAGACCAAGAATTTTATTGTTAATGAGAAAGAACTGGATAAACTTTTTAGCTTATGCTCAACATGTGGACAAGCTGTAGTTGAAATGAAGAAAATTACTAAAGGTAGCATGTTATGCATAAAAGCAACATGCCTTAATGGGCACACTAAAGAATGGAATTCACAACCATATGTGGATGAAATGCCATTAGGTAATATACTTATTCCAGCAGCTGTTTTGCTAACTGGAAATACATTTGCTCCTATAAGTCATTTTGCTGCTTGCCTCAATTTGCAATTTGTCAGCAAAGCCACCTTCCACAAAATTCAGGATAAATATGTTATCCCAGTGGTTCACAATAGCTGGCACAACCATAAAAAACAAGTACTGAAAGACATCAAGAACCAGAAAACTCCAGTAAATGTTGCAGGAGACGGTCGGTCTGATAGTCCAGGTCATTCGGCAAAGTATGGGACATACTCACTTATGGATGAATCATCCGGGAAGGTAATTGACTTCAGTCTTGTACAAGTGACAGAAGTTTCTTCTTCAAACGCCATGGAATATGAGGGTTGCAAACGGTCCTTAAAAAAGCTTATTAAAAACAAGATACCTGTACGATGTCTAACAACTGACCGTCATGTTACCATTACAGCTAGAATGAAGTCTGATTTTCCAAAAATCAAACACCAGTATGATGTTTGGCACTTGTCAAAGTCTGTTACAAAGAAACTGACAAAGAAAGCCAAGAAGAAATGCAATGAAGACATACTACCATGGATTCAGTCAGTTTCAAACCATTTATGGTGGAGTGTGTCTACATGTGATGAAGATGTTTCAGTAATGAAAGAGAAATGGCTTTCAATCATTCACCATGTTTCCAACAAACACAGTTGGAAAGGGTGCAAGCACTTTAAGAAATGTGTGCATCATAGACTTAGCAGACGAGAGAATTAAGAAACAAGTTCCATGGCTGAAAGCAGGATCACCTGCTCTTGTTGCCCTGGAAGAGGTGGTGAATAACAAAAGGCTTCTGAAAGATATGGAGAAATTGACAGAATTCCGCCATACTGGGGAACTGGAAGTTTTTCACTCCCTTATGCTGAAGTATTTACCAAAACGAAAGCACTTCAGCTACAGATCTATGTTGGCACGTACTCAACTTGCAGCATTGGATCACAACCATAATTGCAATCGGGTTCAAGCTGTAGTTAAGTCAGGTGGAAAAGGTTGAAAAAC